TCCTTCCTTCCTTCCTTCCTTCCTTCCTTCCTTCCTTCCTTCCTTCCCTCCTTCCCTCCTTCCCTCCTTCCCTCCTTCCTTTCTTCCTTCCTTCCTTTCTCTGTCTCTTCTTTCTTTTTCAGTAAGACCCTTGCTTGTACCCCTTGGGCTCGCAAGTCAGGGGCCACCTCAGCCTCCCCCTGCTCAACCCCAGGCCGCTGCCCCGCCCCTGCGCGCTCCCTCCTGCCTCCCCCGCGCGCCCGGGGCGCTGTTTCTACCCGGCCTAGCCCAGCCCCGACGCGTGTGGCGGCATGCAGCCGCGAACTAATCCCCGCGGGGCCGCGGCAGACTGCTCCGCGCTGCTCCCTGAGAGCAACCTCCCTCCCTCCGTGCCCCGCGCTCCCTTCCCTCCCACCCCGCACAATCGTGTCGTCCCTTCTTGCCAGCTGGGGGGAAGGGGGGGATGCCGCCAAGGATCCTCTGCCCGCGAGCCTGCTCCCCTCCCTCTGCGCGCCCACCCCTCACCACCCGCGCTGCTCGCTGACACCAAGCGGCAGACAGGTCTCAGCATCTTCCAGGTTTTGGCTGGGCCAGGCCGGTGCTCACCGCCTCCGAACCACCCTCTGCCACCCTGGGTTGCTAGGTCACCTAACGCTCCCCACACCTGCGTTTCTCCTTGGGCTTTAGCTCCTGCGCGCTGGGGTTTGGGGCAGGCTGTGAGGGTCTTTCTTTTGCTACCACCAGAGACGCGGGCCAGGGCTAACTCCCTTAGTCCCCTCCTTGGCCTCTGTGCCCCCACTAGTCCCGCTGATCCCTCTAGCGTAAATCCAGGCATCCTGATGGTATCCCCATCAGGCCGCTACCACCTAGTGAAGGACCTGGGGTCTTTGAAGGTTAGGGGCGAGTTTAGAGCAATGGAGCCGCGCGGGTTTGGCGCGGGGCCAGGTGCTCTAGGTTCACCTGCAGTTTAATAAGCGGGAGGTGAGCTGGCGGTGGGGGGGAGCGGGGGAGGGGAGAGGTTAGGGGTGGAGGGGGAGACTTGCTAGGGCTAGCCAGGGTGGGGCGGCACCCAGTGTTGAGAGGGGGCGGGATTGTGGCTCCTGGACTCCGCCAGCCAGTGGGGCTGGGTTCCTTCCCTAGGCCTAGGAACCCCGCCCTACCTCAGTGGCTTCTGCCCCCCTTATTCGTTGCAACACTTCATTTCTACCTCTCCCTCTTTAGTGGGACGCTCTGGGCTTTTGGAAAGACAATTGCCATCCTCCCAGCTCCCTTTGCCTCACCCCTGCGACTGAGCCTGCCTTCATACCTAGCTAGGTCCATCTTCCTTCAGGCTCATTTCCTAGATCCTTTTGGTCCTCTTCTCCAGGACTCACTAAATTTGAATCCCGTCAACAAGCTCTATGTGGAGGCCCCTGGTTTCTTCCTCTATCTCATCCTGATTATTGTGGAGCCTGTTGACCTGGCACGCGCGCGCGCACACACACACACACACACACACACACACACACTATACTGTCTATCACGGTCTGACTCCTCTGAGTCAGGCTGCTAAGGAGGTTCTTTTAAAACATATGATGTCATTAATAATTTTAGGGACTGCTGAGGGCGAGTGGGGGTTCCCTAGGCTTTTCTAAGGTACTGCTGTTACTGCCACACTAGCCTCCTGAAGCCTTCCCAAAGAGAGGTTGAACTGGACAGATGGGTTTGAGGAAGGAAGGGGAGTAAAATGTACTGAGGACAAACCTGGGAATATAACCAGGCTTTACCTAGCCAAAGACCTAGCTGCAGACCAGAGGGAAAGTGGGGGCAGGCACTGGAGTCTCCAAGGGGCTTTACAAGAGTCAGGAAAAAAAGTTATAAGAAGGCCCTAAAGTGATGCTTGCTTCTTTGCTCCACACTGCATCTTGTACACAAACCCAGACAGGTTGACGACTGGGCTGGGTGTCCTAACAGTTAGGGGACGGACAGAGAACTTCTCTACCTGTCCTTCAGGAGGTGAGGGACAAGAAGGAGATTTGAGGAAGGAGGTTCAGGGAGACTGGGCTTAAGTCCTGATGTGTCAGGAATGGGAGACCAGAGAGATTAGAAGAGGAGTTTGGTAGACTCACAAAGCTGGCCCAGGGAGCTGCTCCTGTTAGGTGCTACTGGCCCTACTATGGCCCAACCACATTTGGAATGGGTGGAAAGAAGGGGCCTGGGTCCTGCAGCAAGCAAGGATCTCTGCTCAGGAAAACCCTTCAGTTTAAGTGGCAGAGCCTGCACCGTGATGTCCTGCTCTTTCTTTCTCCATTGTTTCAGAGTCATTCATGGTTTTAAGAGTAGGCATTCAGGGTTTGGAGAATGGAGTGGCACTCAGCTAAGGAAACTAAGGCACAGGTAATCATATCTCAGGATCACCTAAAGCCCTTGTGTTCTGATGACACCCCAGGAAATTAGCAAACATGTATTAAGCACTTAGTGTTGGGCATTGTACTAAGACACATGGTATCCATGTTTTAGGGTCCTCAAATAGGGTCCCCACTTGGTAGGTGCTATTATTATCTTTGCAAATGAAGCTAAGAGAGGTTGGGTAATTTGTCATCAGTTAGACAGATTATAAATGAGCAGGAGAGCCTGGACTCCACGCAGCCCACCTGATTGAAAGCACTGCCTGCTAGATCCTCTCCTATAAGGGCTCCCAAACTCCAAGGCCAACATGAGGTGAGCTTGAGCCATCAGTGCATGTGTACGCCAAGTACTCCAAAAACACACACCTATGTTTCTGTGAGCACATCCACTCTGTATGTGCCTAAGTGTTCCTGCATGCACAGCTCTCTCTGTCTCTGTCACTCTCTGTTTCTATCTCTGTCTCTGTCTCTGTCTCTCTCTGTCTCTCTCTCCTCTCTCCCAGGCTTAGGAGCATGAACAGATTATTTGCAAGGAGTGAATGGCAACCAGACCTTTATTCTTTCCTCTTCCCTCTTTGACTTGAATGGGCAGAGCTTAAGCTGCTCTGGCCCCTCCTTGTTCCCACTGGCCCCTAAATCATCTTCCCTTCATACTCCCTCATCCTCCAAGCTTGCTCCCTCAGCCCCCTTCCTGGCCATTGGCTGCAGCCTATAGTAGCAGCTGACTCCACTTAGATGCTGGCAGTCTCTGTCCCAGATCAAAGGCAGGGCAGCTAATTGTGCATCTTAACAAGCCCCCCCCCCCAGCTTCGGGCAGCCCAGCTGGCCACGGCCCCACCCCTTTCCCCCTCCAGCTGGCCAGATGGCACAGTGCCTGCATCTGCCCCAGACAGTTGGGGCCAAGACCGAAACTGGGGCCCTGAATGGGAGCTGGGGCAGACCCAGTGGGCAGGACTTCTCTGAGCATGGATGCTCAGAGCAAAGAGTGAGGATGCATGCCCTGGTCATGTCTACACGTGGCTGTGACAGCTGTCAGAAACAGGGAGAGGTGCAGGAACGGAGTCTTAAGCTGCATGAGGTATAGAGTTGTCTAAGGTTGTAAGTTACATTTTTCCCAGATTCTCCTGTGCCTGTCTGACCATGGACATGTTGAAGATGTAGTTACCCCGTTCCCCTATAGACTTGATGCCAAGTATATACAGAGTCATAGGAACTAGAAATTGGGATATCTGGGTTTCTTTCTCAGCAGGAGGACTCAGTGGAGCCCATGTCCCTCAGCATTTGCTGAGAAAGTTAAGTGGAGGCTCCACTTCATAACCTCTGTGACCTGGGGATTTCCCAGTTTGGAGAGAGAGAGAGAGAGAGAGAGAGAGAGAGAGCACGTATGTGCATGTGTGTGTCTGTGTATTTAGGGGGGATGAGGTCTAGACTGTCTCTGGAGGTCTGAGTATTGCCATCTGTTCTAAAGCAGGCAGACTGATGACTCTGCCAGCAATAAGAGACATTCTTAAAGCTCTAAAGATAAAAGGCAGGGGATAAATGCAGGGTGCATGTCCCAGAGTTGTGGGTCTACCCTTTACCCTTAGGCTGCACCAGCTCACAGCAGTTTCTGCTCCCCTGAAGCCTGTGCCAAGTTCCAGATCAATCTTCATCCCCTCCTGTCTGGTTCTCCTGTTACCAGGATGTCATGAGCTAGAAAGAGAAGATGAAGAGGGAGAATCTACATCGGAGGCTTCCACTAATCCAAATGATTTGTTTTAGACAAGGGTCATGAGCTGCTAGGCTCTGTCTTTGATCAGGATGAAACAAAAAACAATGATGTAAAAAAAAAAATGTAGCAGAATTGAACAAGATCAGACAGCAAGAAGAACTTCTCAATAACAGCAATGTTTATGTAGTGCTTTTTATGAGTAAGACACTATTCCAAGCACTTTAAATTTAATAACTCATTCAATTCTTGGAACAACAATTGGCTAGATAATGATAACACTTGTTTGCAGAGAAGGAAACTGAGGCACAAGGAGATTAAGTCTCTTGGCCAAGGTCACATAGTTATTAACAGCTGGCCAGTAGAAGAGCCAAGATTTGAAACCCTGGCAATATGATTGCAGAAATCAGATCTTAGCTGCTAAAGAGACCATGGGATCAATATTATAATTTGTCTTGGCAAGAAGAGGATCTGGCCTGTGGTGCAGCCGATGAGGCTTAGAGCAGGAATGGGCTAGGGGTTTGATCCTATCCAGTCCCAGAGAGGTCTCCAGAGCTTTTAAGGCTTCTGAGAACATGTCCTCCCAGGCTTTGCTGCTGGGGTAGGAGGATTCTGTCATTTCTACTGAATTTCTGATCTTCTCCAAGGTCATCACCCTCCCACCACATTCTGGGTTTCTTCTGTAGGGGTTCACGGCACAGGCCGATTCTTCCTGGCTTCTCTCATTGCCTGCCCTCTCCAGGGTCCACAGCCTCTTTCTAAAAGCTGCTTCTAGCTACGCTTTTCTCAATGGATACTAAACTAAACAAGCAGTAGCCTGCAGGTCCAAGGGCTAGACCTACCTCTCTGAGTAGGTCTCTCCTGGTTCAGGTTCCAGGGCACTTCTCAGGAGATGGCTCCGGCAAGTGTACCCAAAAGGAAAGCAGTATGAACAGGCACTGGGGCCAGGCTAGCACATCCCAGTGTCTCAATCAGAGTGAGTTCTTTTGCCCTCTAAGCCTCTAATGAAAAGCTCAATCTGTCTTTCCACTAAGTTTGCAGCCCTGCTACATGCCAGATACCACTCAGGTCACTGGGTTCACCCACACCAACCTTCGGATGTTTCCAGCAGTTCAAGGCAGGATATAGGCAGGTTGGTGGGATAGGAGCAGCCATGTCATGTGGACCAGAATAAAAACTACTAGGGAGGGAGGGTTCCAGGCTGGGCCTATACAGCAGCCTACAATCTGGGGTGGGGTACATTAAGGGCAGATGATCTGGTCTTATCCTCCTGTCCATTGGCATCTCCTGGGGTCTGGAATTCCATCACTTGTAATTTATACTTTGGGTTAAACTTCACCCACTTTCTCCAGGCTATTTAAAAAAATTGCAGATATCACTGTGAAAGGTAATAGATTAAGTGTCTAATCTGGAAAAGAATGTGTTTGCTAGGGACTTTCTGCCCTGGAGGAGAGATCTAGACATATAAATTCCAAGCTTGCTAAGGAGGTGTTAATGAAAAAGGGAAGGGAGTGTAACCCCACCCCCTCTCTGTCTACCCTCTTCCTGCCCCTGGGACTGAATCTCACAGCCTGTTAGTAAACCATCTACTTCCAGCCTGCTCTACCTAATGATCACGTTCTTCTGGTCTCTTACCACAGATTTTATTTTTTTTCCTTAATTAGTTATTATTTTAAAATTTACCTGTATTTGGTATTTTGCATATATATATGTGTGTGTGTGTGTGTGTGTGTGTGTGTGTGTGTGTGTGTCTGTGTTAAGGTGCCAGATCCCGAGGAACTAGAGTTCAGATGGCTGCCTTTCGTGGCCAAAAATCGTGAGCCAAAAATCAAACACTGGTCCCTTAGAAAAGCAGTCAGCGCTCTTCCCCGCTGAGCCATCTCTCCAACCCCTTACCGCAGGTTTTCGAGAGAGTGCTTTCGCCTACGCCATAGCAGCGGCCGGGGTAGTACACGCCGTGTCCAACGCGTGCGCCCTGGGCAAACTGAAGGCTTGTGGTTGCGACGCCTCCAGGCGTGGGGATGAAGAGGCCTTCCGTCGGAAGCTGCACCGCCTGCAGCTGGACGCGCTGCAGCGCGGTAAGGGCCTGAGCCACGGGGTCCCGGAACACCCTGCCCTGCCCCCTGCCAGCCCAGGCCTGCAGGACTCCTGGGAGTGGGGTGGCTGCAGCCCGGATGTGGGCTTCGGAGAACGCTTCTCCAAGGACTTTCTGGACTCCCGGGAGCCTCACAGAGACATCCACGCACGCATGAGACTCCACAACAACCGTGTTGGCAGGCAGGTGAGAGTCAGGACGAGGCTAGGCAGGCTCCTCATCCGCTCGCTTGGGTAGCTCTCCCTTTTAGGAACCACTCTATTTTCCCGGCTCAGTAACCTCACATCCCTCTCTTAACCCAGTCTGCAAGAAGTGGGAACCTTCCACGGTGGGACTGGGACACAGGGGTGAAACCATCTTTCTCTGATAGCCAACAGAAGAAAGGAATAGGCTGGCAGTCAGGACCTGGGCGACCACACTCTCCTTCCCTGTAGAGCCAGAACATCGAAGAGCATCATCCATCATGTATCACAGCTCTAAATATTTCATGGCTGTAGGAGCCCGAGATCACAGACTTTCTGTTCAGTATCCCGGGAAGGGATTCTCACAGGCTGAGGACCTATGTTATAGCTTCCTACCTTCTCTCTCCCCTTCTTTCTTTCTTTCTTTCTTTCTTTCTTTCTTTCTTTCTTTCTCTCTCTCTCTCTCTCTCTCTCTCTCTCTCTCTCTCTTTTTCTGGACTGCTCATACTACCTTCAAGTTCCTTTGTGTGAGAGTAACAACACTAAAAACAATACAGACACAGGCACAGGAGAAAAGGAACGGTTGATTGAACTTACCAAACCTTTCTATGTGTTAGGCTCAGCCTACTTAGGGCACGCCTGTACTGTCAACACTCCTAAGAAACACGTGCTCAGATGTGGAAACTGAGGCAGAGTGACTAAAAAACTTGCCTGAGTTGGGAAAGTGTTAGCGAGGCCGGCTCCACTCCCAGCCCTTTCCTGGCAGTTCCCTGCTCATTCCTCTTCTTGGTCCTTCCCTGTCTGCTCAGCCCAGTTGCTGGCTTCCTATCCCTATGCAGTTTCCCCCTTGGCCCCTGAGACCATTCCGTTCCTCCTCTGACTCCGCAGCCATTTCCATCTTCGAAGGGAGTGAGGGTGAACTGAGGCACACGCATGCTTACCCTCAGGTCCAGCTCCCACCCAGCCATGCCCTGGGCACGGGGCTTCTTTCCCAAGCTCCTGATACCACCCCAGCCCAGCCCAACAGTGCCTCCTCCTTGTCCTTGTTAAACTGGTTAATTAATGGCTTGCAGCCTGTGGGAAGCAGATGTTCTGGAGCTGCTGGCCTGGGGAAGCTTTGGTGTGTGTTTCGGGAGTTTCGTTTCGGGGGGAGTTGGGGGGATGGAGCAGGGTGGGTTCCCATGTAGCGCTAACACCACAGGCTACACACAGACTGTACAGCCCTCTCAGAGGTAGGCTCCTTGACCAGGCCTTCTTGACCAGTTTGGAAGACCCGGCCCCTTGCCCTCCTTAAGAATATTTGGAATTGGGGTGGTGGGGGTGGAGAGTGTGGACAGCTTCCAGTGGGGGTGTCTGCTGAGGGTAACACTAAGGGGTTCTTTACAGGGAGGGGGGTTATTAGAGAACAAGTTGAGCTCTGAGTGAGTGGCAAGGAAGCTTCTCCTAGAGACCAGGCAGGGGCCGCTTTGGCACCTGCCAGTACTCAGTATAAACAGAGGAAGTTTGAGTTGGTATAATGGGAGGGAGATGTCTCCTTCGTTCCTCCACCCCGGACCCCCCACCCCGTCCTTGCAAAGACCTGCAGGGCACAGAGCCTGGAGGGAGGCCAAAGGCTTTGGGGTTGAGATGTAGGGGGGCAAGCTCCTTGCTCCAAGGAAAGGAGAGGGAATTTCCCTAAAGATTTGGGATCCTGGGGGGCTCAGGAAGCAAGAACCCCCAGGCCCAAAAGCCCCATGTAGTTGCTAGAAAGGCTGGCAAGGAAGGAAAGAGCTCAACCGAGGGAATTTCCCCACAGGGTCTAGCCGGATTGGGGTGGGGGGGGCGGGGGGTGCTGCGGAAGAGCGGGAGAAGTTCTGAGCCCCAGTTTCGGACCTCAGTGTTCGCTTCTGTACAATGGGAGCCGACCTCCAGCCTCTGTGGCCAGGGGAGGGCTGGGACGCTGGATGCCGGGCCTCAGTTCCCCTCGGTGCCTCCCCGTGCAGGCGGTGATGGAGAACATGCGGCGAAAGTGCAAGTGCCACGGCACGTCAGGCAGCTGTCAGCTCAAGACGTGCTGGCAGGTGACGCCCGAGTTCCGCGCCGTGGGGGCGCTGCTGCGCAGCCGCTTCCACCGCGCCACGCTCATCCGGCCGCACAACCGCAACGGGGGCCAGCTGGAGCCCGGCCCCCCGGGGGCCCCCTCGCCAGCCCCGGGCGCTCCAGGGCTACGCCGGAGGGCCAGCCACTCCGACCTGGTCTACTTTGAGAAATCGCCCGACTTCTGCGAGCGGGAGCCGCGCCTGGACTCGGCGGGCACTGTGGGCCGCCTGTGCAACAAGAGCAGCGCGGGCCCCGACGGCTGCGGCAGCATGTGCTGCGGCCGCGGCCACAACATCCTGCGCCAGACGCGCAGCGAGCGCTGCCACTGCCGTTTCCACTGGTGCTGCTTCGTGGTCTGCGAAGAATGCCGCATCACCGAGTGGGTCAGCGTCTGCAAGTGAGCAGGCCCAAGCTCGCCTGGGTCTCAAGAAATGTTCTCCACCTGGGTGCCTGGCTTGCTTCTGCCGCTGGCGATCTGGGCCCGGGCGGCAGCAGCAGCCGCCGCCTTGGTTCCTGAGAGAGGTGGTTGGCTCTTACGGCCCTGAGACATCACAGACAGTCTAGACCTGACTGGCACCCTTCTGCTGGCTTCTGTGGGTCGCTCTCTTCCTCCTCCTAGCTCAGACAGCTGGAGGCGATGCCGGAGAGTGCCCCGCACCCTTGGACGCACCACCAAAGCAGCCCAGCCTTCCAGGCCTGCCTCCTGTTGTCTTTTCTCCCCTCTCCCGGGACTGGCAGGCAATGCGCTGAAGCTGCTGGGCACCGGGGGAAGAAAACTAAAATGAAGAAATGGGCTAATTCGGCTGAAGTGATTCTACAAAGACCCCAGATACCTTCCTCCACAGGCTTCTGCCCCTATCATTCAACTTAACAGATATTTATTTTGCACTCTCTTTGTGGCATTCTCTGGGGGAAAGGGAAGCCTTCTGAAGTTTACAGGCTGACTAAAGGAGGTGGTCAATAAACCAGTAAACACCTAAACAAGATTATTTCAGGCGATGTTATGGGCTTTGGGGAAAATTAAGCAGGGCCCTGAGTATTGATTTGTGGGAAATGGAGCCCTTTCGGCTAAACTGATCAGCCAGGGAGACTTCTGAGTTGTGACATACAAGCTGAGACCTGCATGAGAGAGAAAGAGCCATGCAGAGACAGGGAAGGGTTTTCCAGACAGATTATAGGAACCCAGAGCTCTGAGGAGAGAGAGAAAGAGACAGAGACCTCCACCTGTTGAGGGAACAGCGGTGTTAGGGGAGGAGAAATCAAGGGCAGGGAGGAGAGACCAGAGGATGGGGCAGCCACAAGAACTGGGTTTTATTTTAGTAGAATCTGCATAGATCCTTAAGCAGGCGACAGTTGTGCTCTGATTCCCACGTGTATGGGGATCTGGCTGAAATGGAGACACGATGACAGCCAGAAAGCATGTTGTGGAGACTAGCTGAGGCCTGGTTTGGATGACAGCAGTAAGGATGCCTGGAAGGAATGGGACCCAGGGATCCAGATCCCTCAACGCCAGAATTCTAACCACCCACTTTGTACCTGAGCCCTTTGCCACAAGCCAGGACGAGTGGCTGTGCCCAGCAGCCACTGACAGCAGAGACAGGAGACGCTCTGAGAGAAATAATCCTGGGCAAGACCCAGCTCAGCCCAGCCTAGCGCCCCAGGGGGCAGGTGAGGCGAGGAGGTGCGGCTGGGCTGGGACTGGGATGGTGGGGGAGGGCTGCCGACTCACCCTCCAGAGCTGGCCTCTGGAGGCCAGGCGTGAAAGCTGGGGATGGATAGGCAGCCTTCCTGAGCCCCCCCCCCCAAGCCCCCAAAGCCACAACTCAAGGTGTCACTTAGCAGGCCAAAACTCCTCCTTGACATGTTTCCACCAGGACGTTGCTGGGCCAAAATTTGGATGAGATTCTGAGACCCTCAGAATCTCAGGCAGGGCAGTTTTAGCTACCTCATCCAGTACTATTGCTCAGCTAGTGACCTTACTGGATGGCATCCATCTTGGTAAACCAAACCCAGACAAAGTCTTGTTCCAAAGGCCAGTTTTCACAGAGCCCCCTTCCCCCATGTTTCCTTGCCTTGATCCCTTGAGGGGGTTCACTCCGGAGCCATACACCTCTGTTGGCCCATCAGTTGGAAGATTGGGCTCACTAGATCGCTCTCAGCTACCCGCCCTTTAACTGCTGCATTTCAGCAGCTCCTAGGCATGCCTAAGGCACCAGGCCCTCTCAAGTGCTAAGTTCTGCTGCCTCAGTGGAGAACAGGGTTTCTTTCCCCACCCCCTCCCCCAAACAGCCTCACAGGTGGGTGAGCGTCTCTGGGGAGGAGGGGTAGGCAGGAGCAGACAGACACACCTGCCTCATTCCTTTCCTCTTGTTCATCCTGGAGAGAACTGTAGGGGCTGGGCTCCCCCCTTCTCCCCTCCCATCCTAGGGAGGAAGAGAGATGTGCTGCGGGAATTGGAGGGTGGAGGGATAGTCCCAGACCTAGCAGCATAGTCCCATACCACCACAGCCTTGACCCCCATCCTCCGCCTTTCAGAGCTTGGGGAAGTGAGCATTCGTTATAGGATGGAGTTTGGGAAGAAGGTGAAAGGGGCACACTGCAGAACACGTTGCCTGGAGTGAGGGCAGGGCAGAGTGGGGGCAGGGGACCAGACACCGAGCTAGAAGGGAGCTCCAATGGGCACAATCAGTGCCCCCATAATAGCAGAGTGACCTATGGGACGCCATGAGGGCTGTTAAAGGCAGGTGGGAAGGTGGTGGAGGTGGGAAGATGGACCCCAAGCCTGTGCACAGTGGCTGAGGGTACAGTGGGAATAACGATGTTGGAGCGTCCTGCCACCACCCACTTCAGGTGCTAGGTTGGAAATAAGTGGAAATGGGCTGAAGTTAATGCCGCTTAGGGCAAAGGTGGGCTGAAGACCTCGGGAATCACCGGAGGTGAAATTTATAATAGGAACAAAACAACCTCCCTTTCCCCTCTGCACCTTCGACCTCAGGGACGCTACATTATTTCGTTTTAGGCAGAACTGAGTGGGGTCTAACGTCTCAAAAGGAGGGAGGGAGGGAACTAATAGCAAGTAAGGCTGGTGGACTGATGGACACAGTGCTGGGGTTAAAGGTCAGGGAGAAACAGCCCGCTGGAGTGCCATGAGAACCCAGGCATCTGGCTTTTCAGTCTCCCAAGGGGACCTATAGAGGGATGATAGACTTGCCAACTGCAGAGTACCTGGGTGAGAGGCAAGGTCAAGGCCATCATTTAGGGGTTACCTCCCTCTCCTTTCCCTGAATTAACGCGCTCCAGGTAGCCTCCGGCAGGGGGCCTTTCCCTCTGGAGATTGGCCAGACCCCAATCGACAGCCCCCCTCCTCCCTTTCCACCCTCCCTCCACCCCTCATGTGGTTGCCGGCAGCTGCCTGCGGTCGCCTCATCCCTTGTGCTCAAGGCACAGGGACTTTCCAACAGGGGAAAAAATGACTTAATGAGAGTGGGCGCTGGGGGCGGGAGGGACAGGTCCTTGTAATCACAGCTCCACTGTGGGGCCTGCGTACCTCCCGCTCCTTGCCCAGCTTCCTGCTGCCAGCGCCAGCTTGGGTTCTGCTCAGGGAGGGGGGGTGGGCAGCCTGGCGATTGGGAGATCCCTCTTCAGGTGCTAGGCTCTCTGCGACCCTTGGGCTGCCTTTTCTTTCTGAGCTGCTTGGGGACGGATCCTGCGACACCCCAGAATCCCTCTCTGGATCCTGTCCAGAGTCTTTTGCTAGTGAATTAGAAGAGCAAGGAGGGTCCCAAAGAGAACCCTTGGCTGTTCCGAGACTGCGCACTTCGCAACGCCCCCCGTTGCTGCGGCAACCAGGGCAGACGAGGTGTGTCCCGGGGCCTGGGAGGTACCCCCTCCCCACCCTGCCGCCGCCCGCAGGGGCCAGGCCCCGCCGCTGTGGTGCGCGGGGGTGGGGGTGTGCCGTTCCCATGGCAAGGGTGAGCTAGGAGGGCACATTCTTCCCCAGGGTGGGAGCGCCCTGGGGACACGAGAAGGGGGGTGACGGGGGAGGCAGAAAGGGGAGCAGAGGATGGTCAGAACAAGGGAGGAGTCTCGGACAAGATGAACCAGGGTTTCTGAGGTTGAAACGGGGGAGTTTGGAATCCGTCCTCTCCCCTACTCCAGCTTTTCTGAGGTGTCCTTCTCCTCCTCCTGCACCCTTCTTGGGGTTCAAAGCTTCCAGGCCTCCATTTCCGAGGAAGGGACTTCCGATAACCGACCAACCCCCTTTGTGGAGCTAAGAGGCCTGTCCCACTCCACTCCCAGGAGCGCTGAAGCCCAGACTGTGAGCCACTGCCCTGCAATTAAGCCCCTTGGCCGCCCCTGGGCCACTCTGCCTGGCTCAGTCCGCTGCCAATTACAGTTTTGCGCAGCAGGATTACCTTGGAAAACCAGGAGAGGCTTGGGGGGTGGGGGAAACAGCAAGCAACTGAAGAGGGGGAGATGCTGGGGGTGTCCTTGACCCCAGGGTCCTCATCTGGAACTTCAGGCTGCAGCCTTGAGTGTGTATGTTGCAACGTCTGGGATCCAAGGCTGTGTGTACTTAAAAAGTTCAAGGCCCTTGAGGCTTATTCTCTTTTCCACCGTAGGCTGCAGCGTGGGTCTCTCCTGGACCCAAGCCCTGACCGATGAACCCAGCTTGGTTTTGCTGAGCCAACCACAAGGCAGCCGCCAGCAAGAAACTTGTTTTGTGGAAATCACAAAACGGCAAGGAGGGTCCGCCTTTTCTGCGGGGCAAAGAAAAGCAACCAGGCAGTGTGCAGAGGATCGATGTTGGAGCGTCCTGCCACCACCCAGTCTCCTGCCGTTCCTTCTCTCCCTGTCCTGCCGGCTAGTCTGCAGGGGCTGGAGCAAAGCTCCGCGCCTCCTGCAGTCCAGCGACTCACATCTGGTTGGCAGCTGGAAACCACCGACCACAAACTATTGAGGACATGGCGCCCTCTGTCGGTGCCGAGTGGCGAGGCACCAGCTTTGGGGCCTGTGCCGTGCGTTTCTGCCGCAGAGGGTGCTGGGTTTTGCTCCTGATGCATGGGTCTCCACTCATTCCATACCCTTTGCCTGCAGAAAACCCCCGTACTCTGACCCACGTCTCTCCAAAATCCTACTCCGCCGCCCCCCACGGTCTTGCCGACCCTCTGCAAGAACGTGTGCTTAAAACCCAGTCTAGTGACCTAGCTCCTCCGAACCTCACAAGGTCACAAGCTCTGACTTCAGCTCCTGCGACCTGTCACTCCATGCCCCACGATCACTCTATGCTTAACTTAAAAGTCCTAAATTAGGAATATGGTCATATAAATAACCACATAGTTTCTCAATGGAATTCCTTGCTGTGTCCTTTAAAATGAGGTGGGTGAAGGATATTTAGTGGCTGATTTAGTGATTTAGTATTTGCTGTACATGGGGGGGGGGTAAGGGTGGAGGAAGGGCACATTAACAAAATATAGCCCGGGGCAGGGTCGCCCTTTGGTGTAAGAAAATTGGACAGGTTATTCAAGAGCTGAATTCTTTAGGACGGGCATGATAGATGGTTTAAAATTTGTTCACTACTTATCTGCATTTTTCATTTGTGTAAAATGAGCCCGTTTTAGTTGGTCCATATGCTGATTC